GCTCCGTCATCTAATATCATCTTGTCCCGGGCCCAGGGAAGGCTGTCAGCTGGCCTGGTCACCACTAATATAAGGCGAAGTCACCGTCACCCTGTTTTTCCAGAAGTTCAAGACATCGAGTCATCAGATCTTTAAATGCAGCAGATACGTGACAGGCGGGCACAAGCTCAGCAGGAAACACGATCACAGACAGACAGTGGACAAGACAGACATGGTAAGTGGATTTTACATTCATTCTCATGTGCTAAGTTACTTTACTATAAACTTTGGAAGAGAGAGACACACACAGATGGAAAGAGAGACATTTTGTTTTGGCAGAATATGTTTTTAAAAATGTGCTCTGATCCTGAAAATAGGACATCAAACTCAGGTACAAAGTTAATGTATTTAAATGACAGATTCTATGAAAGACAGCGCGGCAGTAAATGTGCTTCATTAGAAATCTGAGTCTAGTTGAAATTCAGAGTAATAGCATGACGTCTGCACACTGTTGATATGGAGTAATTTATTCTAATCAAGTGAGTGTAACCGCTGACATTTCAAATCAGGTGGCACCAGTAGAGAAGTAGGAGACAAAACATGAAAATCAAGTTAGATTTTTTAAAAAAAAATCAATTAATCAATCAATCAAACAGGTAAATATAGAGAGATGTCTCTGCCTTGTCTTCTGTTCTAATGTTCTAGATGAAACCAGTTAATTAGGTCACGCTGACAAGTGATCCAACAGGCATCTCTGATTGTATGAACATTCATTCTTTCATTCATTCATTAGACAAGCGTCCACCCAGAATGAAAGGTATTGATCGCTGCTGATAGACTTATAAACTGTTACCTACTGCGACTGTTACAAACCAAACCAAGATGCTGAGAAGGTGCTGCTTGTTCCTGTACGTCTGTTGGGTTTGTGAGCCTGTCAGCGTATGAGATGTGGGTTTCCTGTCATGGCTCAAAGGGTGAAGTTGAAGTAGAAAGCTGTCAGGATACAAATTACTCTGAGCTTAAACTGCTCTCTAAATGTCCTGCTGCAGGGTTTTCTTCAAACTGCAGTCACTCAGGCTGTTGCTGATTTGTTACTTCGCTGTCGAGGCCCTAAGGTGTACTGTTACTTCCTCCTCAGAGCAGACAGAGTTTACCGTAAGCGTCTTCATGAGCTGGAAAAACCTGCCTGACTTCATATCTCAAGCCTCATTTATTTTTTATTGGAGCTGTATCTCAGCCTAATCTAGTGTACAACTTTCATTAAGTGCTGGGAAAAGTTACTTTTCGTTATAATGATATTCTATTAAATGATTTTTTTTTAAAAATACAAACAGCTGTGCTTTGATTTTATCATAGAGTATGTTTTGTGTACTCACGGGACATGGGACATAAAGCATAAATGGCTTACCATGAAAATGCACTATTCACTAAAAAGATATTTAAAAGGAAAGGCCATCTTGAGCTCTTATTGTTATGCCACGTAGCATGGCAGCAAAAGCCTGCTTGCCTTCAATAAAAAAACAAAACAAAAAAACAAAACAAAAAAAACAGGAAGCTGATTGATACTCATTAATTAAACTCCTAAAAATCTCATCTGTGTATCACAGTTACCTATTTACAAGGGTTTTTTCCCCATGACAATAATCCCTTTATGTCTTAATATGGCTTTGTTATAACCTTTCTCTAGAAAAGCTTCTCTCTTTATCCACCCATCTGGCACTCGCTGCACCTCTAGCACACCAGCTCACCTACAGGCTGCAAATTGATTCTGAGGAAGAATAATGATACAAGAAGTCTCAAACTGCAAGATTACAGGATTGATTCATTTTCATATGAAACACTGGAAGTCTGAATCTGTGTTTTTAAGGCTGTCATCAGTCTCTTGATGCATCTTTCAGCATATAAAAAACATCATATTAACAAAACACAAAACTTGATTTTTTTTTTTTTACTGTAGGAAACAAAGCAGTGCTTTAAATAAAATGATAAGCTTTAGCATCTTTACAATCTGAGTTTATCAGTTAGCATGCTGATGTTCGCTGTGATCATGCTGCTAAGTACAATACATTCATCCTCTGAGCCAACACATATGTCCTTGTCCCAGATTTCATGAGGAATCAGTCTGGTCATTCATAAAGAATCAAAGGTTTAAATGACTGCTCAGATTAAAGGTTTGGATCTTACAGGACTACGAAATTAATGACAAATTATCAGCCAGTGCTCCAGCCTGAAGGAGGATAAAGATCCTCCTCTCTGATATGAAGACAAACTGTTAAAAATCATAGCAGAAATGAAATAACTGACCCTTTTACGATGTGACAAAACTGTGGTAAAGGTTTTGGCACAAACACACATTGGCTTGGTTTACAGAAAAGGGAAGTAAGTGTGATTAATGTTTCTAAAACTGGAGCGTTCAGCAGTGGTGGAAGAAGTATTCAAACCATTTACTTAAGTTCAAGCAATCTGACACCATAAAACACACTTTTGTAAGTATCCCAAATATTTTTGGTGTGAAAATACCTCAGATGTACTCAAAATATCAGACATAAAAACACTCAATATGCAGTATGGTCACAGTTTAAATGTTAAATATAGGTTATGTATGGAGTTCTACACATCTATTGAACTGTTTTCAGCTGTTCTCAGCTTACATACAGACAGTTCATCTGCCAGCAGGGTTTACTGAACAACTTTCAAGTCTTTTACTTCAAAAGATAACAACAATCACATAATGTCCTGTATTTATGAAACACTTTTCAAAAGCAAGTGTGCGTCACAGACGAACAGAAAAAGAAAATCATCAAAATAGAGTGCAGTTACAAAAAAGGAACACGATGTCATCACAATAAGTAGAATAAAATACTAAAAATGTGAAAGAAAAGGAACAAAATTAAGAATAAGAACAAGCCAGTTTATAAAAAATGAGTCTTTAAAACCAAATAATAAGTTACTAATAAGCATCTCTAGACACGAGCATATATATAAATCATGTATCATTAGATGAAAGATATAATTTGATCCTGGCCAACTTAGTCATATTGCTAAAATGTTTAGAGAGATTTTCTTACAAACCACTACATTTCTAATTTCATGAGGCATGTACAGATTCAAAGACCATAGACCCTGTTTTACACACTTTAGAACCAAACACCATCATTTGTGTTTTATCCACATTCAACATTAAAAAGTTGACAGACATCCAGGACATGAATACATCTGTGTGTCATAAGCAAACTTTTTTGTCTTGTTTGCACCTTGAGATCACAGCAGCAAAAGCATTTACATGTATTTCAAGAAATGTTGGCCTTTTACTTCTTTACTTGATTTCTGACCTATTTCTGCTGAAATATACACTACTTATGTAAATGTTGGTAGTTATTGTCCATTGCAACTATCCACAACCCTCAATAATTGTAGTGATGCATCTTTGGAAAGTAAAGATCGTTTTAAAATAAAGCCTGTATTACCACATTAAATTCTTCTTCTCTACATAATGCCACTTATAACTAACAAATAAATACACTCCTTTGTGCTTTTCCTGTAGCAGAAGCAGGAAGGACTCTCAGCAGAACCAGTGCCCCGGGACAAGTTGTCAGTCATTAATGATGAGGTAGATAAAGTCAGCAAGATAATGAAGAGCAATGTGGAAAAAATGCTTGATCACCAACTGAAGGCAGAAAACCTACTGACAATATCAGAGGAGCTGACAATAGCAGTAAGTCTTACTGTGGAAGTTCATCTTTTACTATGATTTGTGTAAAAGTGTGTTTTGTTGTCGAGTGTCTGGGTTTTCATATACTTGTGCGTCTTTGGTGTACTGTGCAGTTCAAGTAAGATGTGAGGTCTAACAAAGAGGTCGTTGAACTGTGACATTTTGATTCATCATACCCGGAAAAGCACATAATAACAATAAGGAAAGCAGTGTTTATCTTTGCCAGTCATGTCAGTAGTCACAGACAGGTGGACTGACTGGAATGCAGCAATTACTCATCTAAGAGGCTGCTTTTACAACAAGTCTGTCAACATGTGCTTGTGGCTTTCATGTTCGTGTTTTTATGATGTTATTGATATTTTTGCTCTGTCAAAAAGGTGGTAAATGTTGTCATACATCAATCAGCCACTATATCAAAACCAGTAAAATGAATAACATTGAGCATCTTGTTACATTGGTAACAATGAAGGGCTTCGATATATCAGGTACCAAGTGAACATTTAGTTCTTGAAGTTGATGTGTTGGAAACAGGAAAGCATAAGAACCTGAGAGACTGTGCCGAGGACCAGCTGTGATGACTAGACAACTTGGTCAGAGCATCTCTGAGACAGCAGGTCCTGTAGGGTGTTCCTGGTACGCAGTGGTTAGCATACCTAAGGTGTCCAAGGAAGAAAGGGAGGCACAATCGACGAGAGAGTCATGGGCAGAGTGTGGGGAGTGAAGTTTAGCCCACGTGGTCTGACCACACAGCAGAGATACTGTTATACAAATAGATGAAAACCTTAATGCTGGTCATAACAGAGAGGTGTCAGAACACACAGTGGAACACAACTCACTGTGTAGCTGGAGTGTGTCCATGTTAACTGCTGTCCACTGCCAACATCACCTATAAAGGGCATATGAGCATGAGAACTGAACCAAGGAGCAATGGAAGAAGGTGGCCTGGCAAATTACAGGTCATCCAGGCCTTTATGTTCTTCAGACATGCCTGGAGTTTGACCAATTGATTGGTTTCATTTGCCTTCATAGATAGATACAACTGGGTTTTGCCTGCATAACAATGGAAATGTATGCAGTGCTTCCTAATAATATTGCCTAAGATATCTGTGGTACTCCATAACTAACTCTACTGCGGGTGAAAGTTAAACATCATTAGCATGAACAAACTGGATTCTGTCTGATAAATATGATTTAAACCAATTTAGTGCAGTTCCTTTAAGCCCAATTAAACATTCCAGTCTCTGTAATAAGATGAGTGTGTTGTTTACCCAGAGAAGAAATGGCAGCAGGATGAACCATAGGAAGAAGGCAAACCAGTTGAATAAGTGTGAGGTGGTTTACTGGGAAACCTTTAATCCTGTATTCATCTGTATTCATGCCCATGTTTCTTTGATACCTACCTAAAAGTTGTTGCAGACTGCATAGGATAACGCACCCGGCCACACTGCCAGCATTACTCAGGAATGATTTAAGGAACATGACAAAGACTTCAAGGTGTTCACTTGGCCTCAAAAATCCTCAAATTTTAATCTGATTGAGCATCTGTGGGATGTGCTGGGATGTAGGATCTGCTGCTAACGCGATGCAGCCTGATACCACAAGACACCTTCAGAGGTCTGTGGGGTCCAGACCTCAATGGCTCATGGCTGATCGGTGTATGATTTCTGTACGGTGCTGTTGTCAGTGGTCAACAGTGATTCGGGTATTGTTAGAAGGCGGAGCTAATGAGCTTTCAAGGACACACTTGTATGTTTGACATCTTTAACAGAAATGTGGATCTGTATATTAGCAGTGCAAAGTGTGTTTCTTTAGTGGTCTGTCTTGTCTTTCTTTCTGCTCAGAGTCAAAATCTCGACAGGACAACTAAGCAAGTGGAAAAGTCCTACAGAGGGAAGAATGTCAAGCTGATCATATTCATCGTGGTGATCGTCCTCGTCATCGTCCTCATTGTCGTCCTGCTGGCCACCGGAGTCATTCCTGTCAGCGCCCCTCTGCCTCCTGTAGTCACAAACACCACCAAGCCCTAAACACACACAAACATCCATATAATGTACAAACAGATACAACAGGTTGGAAATAAACATGTTCCTATTGTGCAGCATGCAAAACACTACTCACACAAACCACTACAAGGATCCCAATGGTCCTTACAATGACAAAGTACTTATACAGTCGTCCTCAAATTTATTCATACCCTCCCATTAAAGAAGGAAAAAAAACAGCTGTCACTGAAATAAGTTGAAATTGACAAAAGTAATCATAAATAAACATTTAATGAAAATCAAGACATTGCTTTTAAATTCTGGTTCAACAGAAATCTTTTTTTTAAAAAACAAAACAAAACAAAACAACAAAAAAAGCAGACAAGCATCTATATACCACTTAAACCTCACTAGGGTTGCTGGAGCCTATCCCAGCTGATTAGAGCAAAGGCAGGGGACACCCTGGACAGGTCGCCAGTCTATCACAGGGCTACACTTAAGAGACCAAGCACACTCACATTCACACCTACGGACAATTTAGAATCACTAATTAACCTCAACATGTTTTTGGACCTTGTGGGAGGAAGCTGGAGAACCCGGAGAGAACCCACGCTGCACGGGGAGAACATGCAAACTCCACACAGAAAGATCCCGGGGACACAAACCGGCGACCTTCTTGCTGCAAGGCAACGGTGCTAACCACCAAGTCACCTTGCAGTCCACGATGGGATCTGTAAACTAGTATTTTGTTGAACAACCCTTTGAGGCAATCACTGCAATCAAGTGTTTTCTGTAACTCTCAATTTGACTTCTGCACCTGTTGACAGGTGTTTTTGATTTTGTCCCACTGCTCATCAGCAAAGTGCTCTAATTTGTCCAGGACAGTTTTGTTTGTATGTGTTTTTAATTATCCATTTCAACCACAATTAAAAAGCAATGTCTTATTTCACTAAATTATAATTTAGCATTTTTTTGAAATTTATTATTACTTTTTTCAGTTTCTAGTTATTTGAATGATTATTGTGAATTTTGCCATTTCTTTAATGGAAGGGTATGAATAAATATGAGGACGACTGTAAATACAGTTTACTTTTTACATCATTAAAACTGTCGTGGACGTTGTTGTTGAGGAACCACAACCGCAAAATGTTTAATCAGCAATAATCCATAGAAAAAAATGGTATTTATTTATTCTATGCCCTTTTTTCATTTTTTTAAAACACTTAAGAAAAAGGATGATGTTTTTCTTTCTTTTTTTTTTTTTTTTTTTCAATGAGTTAAAGTGAGTTAAGTTTTTGACATTTTGCCACCATGCTTCAGAGGTGATGGCCAGACCAGCAGGCATGCCAGTGAATTAATCATGAATCAATAGCCATAAGTTTGCTCTTGATATGTGATGACAAAGATGCAGAAAAACAGAAATACTCGGCAAAAATACTTTGTAAAAGAAACTGTAAAATGAACTTGTAATATTCTGGCAACAGACTTGACCAGTCATGTTTTTTGGGGGTGTTCGTGTCATATCAAGGCTCCCTCTGGCTCCTCTGCAGTTTGCACTCTGACTTTGGCACGATTCAATAAACACGCGTCCTGTGTGGGCCATTAAAGGTCAGGTTGAAGGCTCATGTCTGCTCACACACGTCTAGTGTTGGGGGATCAGGTTCTTCCAGCTGGGAGAGATCATTTACAGCCCCTACAAGGTTCCCTCTGCTGGGCCCATGTCAACCAATAGGGCCTCACAGTCACAGCTTATGACTGGAAAATTAAATTCCAAAACATGTGCCCACTTCTCAAAAAAGAAAAAAAAAACAACCTCAAGATATGATATTGTGTCTCTCACTCCACACCTGTCTCTGCTGTTACAGTACTACTTTAGCTTCAAAGAGGCCAAAATCATTCTCATTTTGAACTGTATATTATCAACAAATCCTCACGTATATATGAACAGCCTTTAAAATGTGTAATGTTGTCATCTGTTTAGAATCCACTAATTGTTAAAGCCTTGTTTATGTAGTATGTGTAATTTTCCTTTTTGTTGAAATATGGACCAATTAAAACTGCATGTGTTTTGTGTATATGTGGTTTTGTGGTGCAATAGTCTTAATCTCATTCTTCTCTCTGATTTTCACACACTCATACTGTGCTGGTTCTTGCTGTGCGAGGCAAAGATCATGTTCTGTTCATGCAGGCTCCAGCTGCAGTTATTGTGCAAGAGCCTTTTCCCACTGTCTTTGTGAATGGCAGAACTCACTTTTTCTGGAGTCTTATAGTGAACACTGAGGATCTTTGTCACAAGTCTGATATGCAATGCACATATCATGTTTACTTGTATTTCTTTGCTGTTTGTTAATTTGCCACAAGATGGAGTCAGGGAGTTTGACCGATCAGAGACTGGAGGATTTAAATCAGGGGGGATTCCCCCACAGCTTCTCTGATGCTTCAGATTAGCTCTTGGTGAAACTATGAAGGGTGTTGTGGCACAACTTGTCACGCTTGTTATTTTTTTGCATGTGTTTCCCAGGCTTTAGTGCTGTAGACACAATGAAGGAATTGCAAAAATTTAAAAACAAAATGTGTAACGTGTGAAATACTGTAATCACCAGATTCAACTTTGTAAACCAAAACTTTGAATTAAAAGTGGGTCATTGTAGTTTGAATACTTTGAAGAATGCAGTAAGAAGAAAAGGAGTTGCTACAAATCAGACCCAGCTGGTGAGGCTGACCGCCAGAATGCCTACAGTGTTCATACAGATATTTTCACATAAGCTAAGAGGGAACTTTAGGGTCTGTTAAATCACATATCCTCCGCTGTTAGTCTTTTAGTGAATGTTTGTCAAAAGAAGAAAAAAAGAAGAAGAAACGTGTCTAGGCAACAAAAATATCTTTTATATAATGGTGAACTATCCCTTTAATGTATTTTTAGAGTATCTGTCGAGATTGAAAATAAAAAATGGACCATGAACATTTCAGACATACCAAACTATATTCAAACCTGAAAGACCGAGCAAAACGAAACCTCAGCCAGGCTCTTGAACAGGTTGTGACAGGCTCACCACTCCTGTTGATCACACAGCAGTGAATCTCTGTATTCTGTCAGTGTGAATGTGCTGTTTAGTCAACAAGTGGTGAATAACATTTTAAGGTTTTATCCCCATGACAAAAGGCCTAATGAGATTTGAAACAACAGCCTCCGAGGCACAAAGCTTATTTGTAACTGATGGGAAATCAGCCCGGACTCAGACTGTTGTAGTCATGCGGATGTGAGTCTGCGATCTATGCACGAGTGTCAGGCATTAATGTGAAGGCAGCGTGGTCAGCATGCTGAATATAGCCTTTGTATTGGTGCAGCTTTTCCCAGAAGGAGGCTTTTGTTGCCCTGGTCTCTGACCCCGGCAGCTCTGACCTGACAGAGTCTTGGTTTGAATAATGTTCAATACATTGAGTGAGTAGGTCAGCAGAGCAGTGATTATAAGGTCATTCTGATGATGTGGTGGTGAAATAAATAAAAAGGATATTAGCAGCTCATCAAGGTCAGTGCACATGTCAACTGAAGTGCTCATATTACCATTTAATCATCTTCATTATATCATACAAGATATTTAACATACCACACTATACTATACTATGCTATACTAGCTGCTATGTTATGCTATACTACTATGTTATGCTACTGTATATAGTAGCATAACATAGCAGATAATATCTGTAGTTATATACCACTCTATACTATATGGTGCTGTGCTATGCTATGTTATGCTATGCTATGACATACTATGCTAAGGTACACTATAGTACAGAATAGTATAGTATATTGTTGTGTGATAAAGTTTACTATATTATTGTATAATATAGTGTAGTGTAGTACCTACATTATAATGTAGTACACTATAGTATGCACTATGCAATGTAGTATAGTATAGCATAGCATAGCATAGCATAGCATAGTATAGTATAGTCAGTACACTGTGGATATAGTATAATATATTGAACCTTGCTGTATTGTGTATTATCATATCATATCATATCGTATTGTATAGTACATTACTTTATCGTATTGCATATTACAATATCTTATCATGTTCATGTTGTATATCATATTATCGTAACATAACGTTTTGTACTATAGAAATGCAATGAATCGTCACTTTATCGCAGTGGACGGGTTTGAGTGTCCCTGTGATCCTAGGAGCTATGTTGTCCGGGCATTAGCCCCTGGTTGGGTCTCCCAAGGCAAATTGGTTCTGGGGGGGGACCAGACAAAGAGCAATTCAAATACTCCAGATGACATCAAAAAATAGGAAAGCTGCCACCTCGCCTGGATTAGGGAAACCAGGGCCCCCTTGTGGAGCCAAGCCTGGAGGGGGGAGCTCACTGGGGAGCGTCTGGTGGCCGAACCTTGGGGCCACATGGGGTTCGGTCGGGCACAGCCCAAAGACGCAACACAGGGCCACTGCCCAGAGGGCCCACCACCCAGAAGATTGGGGTCGGGTGCTATGCCCATCGGGTGGTAGGCAGGAGTAGGTGTCCTGGCGTACCGCCCCCTGGTGGCGTAGACATCGAATGTCACCTCACTGGCGGAGAAGGAGCCTGAGCTGGTGCGGGAGGTGGAGCGCTACCGGCTAGATATAGTCGGGCTCACCTCCATGCACAGCAAGGGCTCTGGAACCAAACTCCTGGAGAGGGGTTGGACTCTCTCCTTTTGTGGAGTTGAGAGGCACCAGGCGGGCGTGGAATACTCACAAGCCCCCAGCAGAGCACCGCCTTGTTGGAGTTCTCCCCCGAGAACAAGAGGGTCGCCTCTCTGCGACTGCGTGTTGCAGAGGGAAAAACTCTAACTGTCATTTGTGCTTATGCACCAAACGGTAGTTCAGAGTATCCGGATGTCTTGGAGTCTCTGGGTGGTGTCGTGGAAAGGGTGCCACATGGGACTCCACAGTTCTCCTGGGGGACTTCAATGCTCACGTGGGCAATGACGGTGAAACCTGGAGGGGCGTGATTGGGAGGAACGGCCTGCCTGATTTGAGCTTGAGTGTTGTTTTGTTTTTGGACTTCTGTGCTAGCCATGGATTGGCCATAACAAACATCATGTTCAAACATAAGGTTGCTCATAAGTGTACCTGGTACCAGAGTACCTTAGGCCTTTGAGTCGTATCATCAGATCTGCGGCAATATGTTTTGGACACTTCGGTGAAGAGAGGAGCCGAGCTGTCAACTGATCACCACCTGGTGGTGAGTTGGATCCGATGGCAGCGAAGGCT